ATTCTCTACGTACAGTCCACGACCACTCAAGTAGGCCGTCCTATTTCAGTATGGCCAAGTTCAGATAGATGAGACAAACAGGATAGATCGAACGACCATGTTCGAACCCATATCCCGCAGGTTGCAACCCGATTCGGTCAACACGAAGACGGCAGATCGAAGGCCAATCTCGCGCCAGCGACGCGAGATTGGAATCCAAATGAGGTATGTAATGGAGTCCAACGAGATATCGAGGTGAATTACCGCTAGGCGCCATTTGTATCATACCGTGGGAGGTTGGATTTGGGATGAGCATCCTAACCAAAAATCTTCGAGTGACTAGGAATGGCGCGATCAGGGGGAAGATCAGGGCAGCGTTGCATGCCCTACTGTGAACGGTTCATCGGAGGAGTTACGCGAGTTACTCAAGCACGGAGAGATCGTGAACACTACGGAGTGACCGCAAATTGACAGCAGTTGAGATGGAAGTCGATCTCAAGCCTACACATAAAGTGATCAAAATAGAATCACCACAGTTCGTTCATGTACAACTGAGCTGTAGTGTCAAATATTTCTCGCTCCGCCACTGGTACTGATATACACCATTACAGTCCCGTATTATTTACGTTCTCGTACAAGGGATTTCATATTAATTTTAACCGCGACGAGCACACTCCAAACTGCAAATATCAAAGTTGTAAGCGTGAGAATCAAGCTTGACGCGAAAGTAGCGAAATCGTATTCAACATCCCCGACTCACCTCATCCACTGCGTGAACAACGTGATGACGTGCCTTGACGGCCTGTGAAGGACCGGACCGCAGACGTCTCTTGCTATGTAGAGGACGTTGATAGAGGATATGCCTTCCTGGATGGAGCGTGGACCTATGAGTCAAGCGCGAGGTTAGTGCTGAATATTGAGATGCCTTAATCAATTGTCCTCGAAGACGATGGTGTGGTCAAGAGACAGCCAGCGAGAACCCTGTGCTTCTGCGTGCTTCGACTGTACGCAGGCCCAAGCCCAGGTATAGAGTATATACCGTAGATACTTTCCACATCTTATGATGTGGTGCACATAGTAAAGAACCCATGCATAATAGACCCTAGTTTTGGTATCACTTCAGGCCTTGCCTTGGGTTGGACTGCCCTCACAAATTCCATACACCGCACTCGAAAGCGTGCGAATATCGATTAGTTGGGCGCGCGCGTTGCATCATCCTGATTTCGCCAATTCCCTACATTTATCGACTACGCCTCAGTGCTGCTTGCTAATGGCCCAGGTAGTGGACGAGTCGTCATCTCCAACAGTACAAGCCTCTGCTGCTTCAACCACTGCAGCTCGGTACGCTACTACCTACCAGCATTACTTCCCATTCTGGCGCTCCCTCGGCAACAGCCATACTGTCGAAGGTCACAGTGTACCGACAATAAGCCAGGTCCATTGATGACTCTGTCGTGGCCACTTCCCTTATTGCGATATTATAGGTACTTGAGAAAAGCTCGAAGTCGCGTTTGGTCCAGCCTCCTATAAAGCTGGGCATCGACATGAGCTCTTTCAAACTGCTTGATAAGTTCCGACGGGTAGGGTACGGTGATCCAACTCGGTTAAGTAGACGGGTCATGCAGGCCTCTCGGGAACGGCAAGCAGAGAGGATCCTTTCAGCTCATACCATCCCAAGTAGTAATAGATGAGCACTGTCGACGAATCATGTGTCTCAGAGAAATTCCCAGTGACCGAGGAAGCAGTCGCCGAGCATGTAGATAGTCGAATTAAGCAGCATCCTCTGTAGTATTGATCGGAAGCAGATGGAATGGTAGAGGGTATGGTAGGTACGCTACTACTAGTGCGTCTGTGGGCCAGGCCAGGCCTATGCAGCATCAATTGGCAGAACGGTCAGCACAATTTCATGGCGCGGTGACAGATTCAGGTTGCAGGTACTTTCCCATGAACAATGATTTCACGAACAAGTTCACCGACTTACGACCGAGGTGAAACTCTCTCTCTATCTCAGCTATCTCTAGTCTCTCGTCAGATACCACGGATTGAAAACGAACCCCCGTCCCAGCAAGGTCCATAAGGACTTTGATCAGTTCTATTGATCAATGAGCATGGTAATCTGATCATATCGGCGCTGTTGTCTATCATGGTTATGTTGTGTTACTCGATGAGAACGATTAAGCTGCTTTAGCTCATCAGGGGAGCTTATTACTATTTAGTTCCTCCTCGCAATGAAGCCCCGAGCCCCCGGGCTAACGTCTCTATTGTACATCACTGTCCTCTTCATTTGCCTGCTCTCTTTCTCTGCTGCTCTAACCTCCCAACTATCTGCTCTACTGGAGGAACCTGTGAAATTGAGTATACCTCGAGACAGGGCAAGGTCTTTGCACATGATTGTCGAAAAGGTTGTCGATGCTGGGGATAATGCAGTGATCAATTTTGATCTTCTCGTGGAGGCTATGAGCAACCCCGAGAATGAATATCTTTGTCAACTACCGAACTCTACGGAGCTCTTTGCACAAGCTGGTTATCAGTTCCTAGATGTGGACAAGAGTGATAGTAATGATAAGGTGCAGGTCACAGCCTGTGAGCGAGTGGATACAAATGGATCTACCACAGTTCCACCCCTACCGGAGCAGCCAGAAGCACTAGCATTTGGTAGTCTGCGCTTCTGCTTCTTGTCCATCACGTTTTTGATGGGCTCTTCGATCAGGCTGTAGCGCTTTCGATGCGATTTCGTCGATGTCTCCGGATCAGCTGTGTATGGAAGAAGGAAGGATGGCTTATGATTACTTTCATTCACCCATTCCCGCTGGCTTCAACAGTCAGTGTAACTGTCAGCAAGCAACTAGGTAATGTTACCTACTCGACGTGTTGGAGCTCACTGTGATTCCTTCTAGATGCAAGGATGGCGAGTCGTGGCCTGTTGACAAGGCCGGCAACACTTACCCGGGTCGAACAGCGGATGAGGCATGGTGGGAGGCGACTCGCGATGACGAGTGGAAATACGATGTACTAAGACTGGGGATGGCAATCGGGGTTTTAGGATATTCACAGTGACGAATCGGCCTTTCTTGTCAGACAGCAGTGTGCACTACTACAGGTTGCTCTTGCTGGTTGGCTTGTACTAAGGAAGAGTATGATCCCTGTAAGGGAGTGTTTGTGGGGGATGGCCAGCTGACGGTGAACCAGATCAATCAGTATCTCTACGACGGGTACCCGCAGCCGCCGACACACGATGGAAGTGGCTCGTCAACGACGAATTCACAGGCCGATCCTCAGTTCCGGTTGCAGTATAGGATTTCGGGTTTCAATGATATGAACGCAGCGATAGCAGAGGCTAATCGAATAAGGAAGTTGGCCCCCGAGCTCGGCGCTTCTGTGCAGAACGCGTTCGGGTCCGCAGCAGAGGTTGCCTTAACTGAGAAGAATTCTATCGAGATGCTGGAAGTGGACAACCCTGTGTCCAAGGACCAGACTCGGAGCCTGTTGGGCATTTTTTCCTACGTTGGAATATTGCCATCCAGCTTTCAATCGTGTGCGAGTGATATGGCGAGTGGTACGTTCGGTAGTGATAAAAATACGCAAGTCGCGATACAAGAGCAGGCAGAGGACGTTAAGGTTTACACGGAGGTCCCTACTGGGATGGATAGCGAGAAATCTGCGAAACAGATGTGGAACCTAATTGACGGTGCTATGTTGACGAATTGTGCTAGCCGGGCCAGTATTAACAGCGGGGATATCCCGATGATGGAAGTACAGCAGGCGAGCGATCCGGGCAGTGCTCCTACGACTCATAAGAGCGCCTCTTTGCCATGGTAATGAAGGAAGCTGGGGATCTCAGTTTGAAGCTCGTGTTTCTGGTAGGTATGCATGGTTGCTTATCGCTATTGGTATTGTCATTGTTATAGCAGCTTGTGTTTATGTTTGGTGGCTTCTGTCATCGAGACGGAAACAACGTGAGAAGCAAGCTAAGATGTCGGAGTCTTGTGAAGGAGCTGGTGAGGGTAGCAGTGAGAGAGGACTGATCTCTGGTGTTGCCCCTGCAACAGGGTATATCGATGATGATGCCGCAACAGCAACTGTCACGGGAATAGGTGTAAGCAACTCGGCGCCAAGGCTCATTACCAGTTAGCATCTGTACGCGCTATAAAAATTGTATCGTTCTGAACGTTTAAGAATTGGCCGAATTGTGATGGGTTTCGGTTTTCAGAGCATATCAACCCATGCGAGACTGCCTTCATCTGCA